ATCGAAATAATATGAGTCCACCCTTTGTAGTATGCAGTCGCACGTAAACACACACATATAAAACCAGGAGCGATAACTACGAAGCATAGCATCAAGAGGAGACCGAGAATAGGAAGAAATACTGTATAGCTATATTCCGTCTCATTCTCTTGGAGGTTGCAACCCCAACGGCCGCTTGCCGCCGCGTTTCATTTTTTTAAAATCACTTCCTTTTCTAAAGAGGTTCTCACTTCAAAAAGTTGAAATAAAAATATCTGTGTTAGCATAACAGCTGCTAGCCTCGGGGAAGGAAAACTAGTTTGTAGTGGTCCCCGGGGTGGGTGGATCCCAGTCACCACGACACAGCGCGTCCTCAGGTTGCGGATAGAGGAAGGGCCTCTTGGTCCTGCATAGGCACGTAGATTAGCTGCGAATTAATTAGATAAGCAGTCGCGGACAGCCGACCTGGAATTGGCCCTCTTGTTCGGGGGTCGGGCGTAGGTCTGATTACCCCACACCGTAAAAAGACTTTTATCACGAAACAATGAAACCGCCATGGATTCTACTAGGGTAAAATTTTCCGGAGGTAAACTAGTCCCCCGTTCGGATCTCCGGGTGGGGACTACTTTTGGGAATTCGTGTCAGATAAAGTCGAAAAACGGAAGGGAGTTTAAAGTGAGCATCTGGAACGTGCGAAGTCTGTCCAGACCCGGGGCGCTCCAGGTGATGGTCGGAGAGGTCGAAAAGTACGGGGTAGAAATCCTCGCGCTACAAAAAACTAGATGGGCCGAGGAAGGTTCGGTCAACGCGAGGGCGTATACGCTTTACTATGGAGGATTAGAAATTCATAATTTCGGCGTCGGATTCATGATTAGGAAAAGAATACTATTCGCGGTAAAAGACATTAGGTTTATAAATGAAAGATTAGGATTGATCATATTGCAGGGGCGATGGTACAAGATCGCGATTATAAATGTGCACGCGCCGACGGAAGATAAAGAGGACGAAGTTAAAGACGGGTTCTATGAGGAACTTGAGCGCCTCGTAGATTAATTGCCGAAAGATTACATTAAGATAGTCGTGGAAGATTTTAACGCGAAAATCGGTAAAGAAGAGTTTTTTAGACCAACGATTGGGCGTAAGAGTCTCCATGAGGAAAGTAATGATAATGGAGTAAGAGTAATTAACTTTGCGACCGGAAAAAATCTCATCTTTAAAAGCACGTTTTTTAAACACAAAGATATTCATAAACAAACTTGGATTTCCCTGAACGGAAATACGCGTAACCAAATTGATCACATTCTGGCAGATAAACGACGACACATGAACTTACTAGATGTTAGGACGTACAGGGGGGCGGATTGCGACTCGGATCATTTTTTGGTTATTGCTAGGATGAGGGAACGCCTTTCCGTAAATAAGGCCAATGGACAGCGGATAGGAAATAAACGGATAAACGTGAAAAAGCTTACCGAGGGACAAAACGGAATAAAGTACGCGGCCGAAATAACGAAAAGACTCGCGTCTGCAAATAAAATTGACGAAGCAGATGAGAGTACAGATAAAAAATGGGCAAACATACGCGACATGATGTTCAAATTGGCGGAAGCTATCGTTGGTCTTTGCAAAAGGCACAAAAACAAACCATGGTTCGACGAAAAATGCGAGTTAGCCGTCAAAGTCAGAAACGAAGCGCGTATCTCGTGGCTGACCCAAAATACGGATCTAACCCGGGACCAATTTTACAATATTAGGCAAGTGACCCACAATTTAATTAAGAACAAGAAGTGACAATTTTTAAAACAAAAAGTTGAGGAAATTGATGAAAATTGCCAAAGCAGTAACATCAGTGGTATGTACGCGGGGATAAATAGACTCAGAAAGGGATTCCAAGCTAGGACGGATCTAGTGAAAGATGCGAACAACAATTTAGTTTCGGATACAACGGAGATATTGAACACGTGGAAAAATTATTTTGATCGGTTATTAAATGTAGAATCTGAGAACGACCGGGAAACTGAGAATTTCGAGTTCCATACGGTGGAACCTGTGATTAGTGAACCAACTATGTTAGAGGACTAAAGCGCGATTAAAAATCTAAAAAATCATAAATCACCGGGTAATGACTCGATTCCTGCGTAGCTAATAAAACAGGGGGGGGGGGAAATAGATTGGTCGAAGAAATTTTTGAACTAATCATATTAATATGGAGAAAGGAAACATTGCCGGAACAATGGAAAGAGTCGATTATAATCCCAATCTTTAAAAAGGGAGACAAAATGGATTGTAATAATTACCGGGGTATTTCACTTTTACCAACATGTTACAAAATATTATCAAATATCTTACTAGCTAGGATAGTACCGTATGCAGACGAGATAATAGGAGATGACCAGTGCGGTTTTAGGAGAAATAGATCGACTACAGACCAAATCTTTGCTATTCGGTAGATCTTAGAGAAAAAATGGGAATTTAATCAGCCAGTACATCAACTGTATATAGATTTTCGAAAATCGTACGACTCGGTAAAACAAGAAAAAATGCTCGAAATTCTAATACGACAGAAGATACCAAGAAAATTGGTCAACCTGGTTCAACTTTGCCTAAAGGAAACTAGGGGTAAAGTGAGGATAAGTAACCAAATGTCGGAGGATTTTAGTATCCATAGCGGGATAAAACAGGGGGACGCATTGTTACCTCTTTTGTTCAATTTAGTACTGGAATTCGCTGACAAAGAACTGCAGAAAAGTAAAGATGGTCTACAGTTGAACGGGACAATAGAATTGTTGACATACGCGAACGATATTGCTTTGTAGGAGACAATGAAGGGTCATTAATTAATAACGCGAAAATATTAATAGATAATACTTAAGATCTGGGACTGCAAATAAGCGCGGAAAAAACCAAATATATTGTAACCGATAGAACTAAGAATATGCCTAGTACTGTAACTTTGGTCGTTTTGGATAAAATTTTCGAACGGGTCAGCAACTTTTGGTATTTAGGATCGATCATAAACCAGACGAACGAAATTAACGAAGAACTCAAGAAAAGAATCAATTTAGGCAATGCATGTTTTTATTCGGTTAACAAATTATTCAGCTCACGGTTGCTGCCTAGGCAAGAATTTAGGGTTTTCGAAAACAAAGTTCTTCGTAAAATCTTCGGTGCAAAACGCGATGAGGAAATGGGCGAATGGAGAAATCCCATAACATTGAAGTTCATCGATTGTACAACAAACCGAACATTATTAACGTCGTAAAATCACGCCGATAAAGATGGGCTCGTCACGTGGCGTGCATCGAGGAGGATCGAACGGCGCACAAAATATTGGTTGGTACACCAAACGGGAAAATACCACTAGGTAGACTGAGACGTAGATGGGAGGATAATATTAGATGGGATCTGAAAGAAATAGGATGCGAAGACCGCGAATGGAAGGATCGCGCTCAGGGACGCTCAGGAACAATGGCAGAATTTGGTATTTTCGGCAATTAACTTTCGAGTTCATATATTATAATAATAATAATAATAATAATAATAATAATAATAATAATAATAATAATAATAATAATAATAATAATAATGACGATAAATATAATGACGGACTGTAAAAACAGACTGAACTGCTCTCTGTGCGCCGAGGCAGGACGAATGGACGCGGTGCATCTCTCGGGCTCCGGGAGGTGCGCGGCGTTCCGGGTCGCGCTGGAGGAGTGCAGGAAGCGGGCTGGACGACGGACAGCGTAATCCAGGGAAACCTGAACCGCAGCAGGACAGCTGACATGCTACTACCCCAGATAGCAGACGAACTGGACGCGGACGTACTCATACTGTGCGAGCCATACAGAAAAHGGACAACACGGACTTGGTACACAAACGACGACGAGACGGTAGCTATCTGGGTGAGGGGTGCTGCCCGTTCCCGGATAACCGGCTGTGGCGCAGGGGAAGACTATGTCTGGGTCAAAGTGGGCACTGTCACTTACATCAGTGTCTACCTTACCCCAAACTGCGACKCGGCGGAGTTCGGGAGAAAGGTAGCGGCCCTCGAGGACGGAATTAGGGAACTGCCTGGGGACCTGGTAGTCGCTGGGGACTTCAACTCGAGAGCGATCGATGTCGACACCCTACTGATGTCGACAGCCCACTCGATCCTTCTGTACGGGGCAGAAGTCTGGGCAGACTCCCTGAAGACAAAGAAGTACTGCCACGCAATGATGACGATACAGAGACAGAGCGCGCTGAGGATCGCCTGCTCCTACCGGACAGTCTCTGCGCAGGCTGTTCTGGTCGTGGCAGGCGTGATTCCCATAGATCTTCTTGCTTTTGAGCGCAGGAGGATCTACGGAAGAAGCGCAGACACGAGACTACAGGACGCAACATCGACAGAAAGGGACAAYACTATGCGCGCGTGGCAACAGCGCTGGACGGAAGAAAGAACAGGCAACTGGACAAGACGACTCATCAAGGACCTAAGACAGTGGACAAAACGAGACTTCGGGGACGTAAACTTYTACGTAACACAACTCCTGACAGGACACGGGTACTTCCGACAATACCTCCACAGAATGAACAGAGTACAGACACCAAATTGCACATACTGTGGACACGAACGAGACGACGCGGAACATACCTTCTTCGCATGTTACCGCTGGACTGACCTAAGACGGAGACTCGAAGCGACCGTGGGAGACATCACCCCTGACAACATCGTGGAGGTGATGCTCCACGGAAAGGACTGGTGGCAATTAGTYGCCACATATACGGAGACTATTCTAAGACGGAAAAATGCGGACGGCTGCCTGACATGACGGACCTGACGCAAGACAACAGACTGAACGACACACAGAACACAACAGACGAATAACAAAACGACACACGGACAAGACCCCCAACCAGAAGTAATACTAAAGTAATCYCTGGTTGGGGGGAGACGCGGACGACTACGCGGACAGAAGTGGATTTTCCCCTCGCCTGAACAAGGAAAGATCAGGGGNGGACGAAAGGACGAGACGAGAGTTCAGCACACGGGGGTCGACTCTGCTTCTGACGTCGAGGGGCGATCCTCGGCTGCGGGGGCAGGGCCGACGCCTTTGGTCTAGAAAAGATTTGCCTTTACTTTTTACCACGATAATAAAAAAAAAAAAAAAAAAAAAAAAAATAATAATAATAATAATAATAATAATCCAATTCTAAGATCATACCGGTGCCCTTTGATATATATGATATAATATTATTAATAAGTAAAAAAAATCCTTCAATTATCTTACTCTTGATACTCTGCATTCGTCTCATTCTCTCGAAACTTTGTTTTTTGATTTGCGCACATGTTTTAATTGTACATAACAACAGCTACAGAAGTACATAGGATTTTTTATTAAATATATTTTATTCTTTCTACTGTATTTTAATTTTGTTTTCTTTTTATTGGCGCAGAAAAAATCTAATATAAACAGAAATTTACACTATTTCAAATATTGATCATTACCTAATTATTCGTTACTGATTGAAGGAGAAACATATTTTTTTATTATTTAAATTGTCGGTGTTGAAATATTGTTGATATTGTTATAGAATATTTTAGGATCATCTCCAACTTGAATAAAAATAACTAAATAGGTAGTAATCGAACCAATCGCCTAAGACATACATAACAATGTATAAATAAAATGTTTATAAAATAGAAAAAAAAATAGAATTAGTTTGAATAATCGTTTTTGGAACTTACGCTATATATAAATGTATGATCCAGATCGTAAAATCCACAAGCATTAAATGTCAAACGGTTTTGGATTAGTTGAAACTTAAAATCACGAATCTAAAAGAAACAGTTATTATAAATTGAATATACAGACATCCTTCTAATAACGCAATACATTCATAACATGACAACTTTTCTATAACACGATAATCTTAGACTCATATGTCAGTTTTCATATAACACGATAAAAATTATTTACTTACTCTCATTTTGAATTATTTTCAACGCTGTTTCATTGTGACAAAAAAAAATTATACGTGTTATAGAAGAGAAATATTATATTATTAAAAGTTAACACAAATTGTTTCTTACTTCATCGCAAAATTTCTTATTAATTGAAGGTTCGTATAATTCACAAAGAATGTCTCCAGTGTTCATGGCATATAGAAAAACAAGAAAAATCAATATTATTTCTAATTACAACACACTAAACTTCGTGAAATTAAACATATTTTGATAAATATTATTATAGATATATGGATAAATAAAATACTATAAAAATAGTTAAAAAGAACATACTTCCATTGTCGTTGTATGGCATGTATTGTTTATTGCCAAAATCTTGAAGATAAAATAGAATATCCAATATAAATGCGCGTAGATTTCTTTTACCCAATCTTCATAATATTTTGCGATCAAAATAGCATATAAATTATATGATAATACAGTAATAAACACGACAGATGAAGACATAGACATAAAGATTTGTAATCCATAAGCCTCGTTTATATTTTGGGCACATTTGATTAATTCCAAATGGATTTGTCTTTTATGAAAAGAATAAAAAGAAATAATTAAAAATAATGAATGGTTTTGGACCAATTACCAGTAACTTACTTAATTCTCTTCAATTTTAAACAGTTCTCATAGGTTTTGTACGATCGATAAATAACAGATAACAAAGAATCATCTTCCCAGTTATCTTTCATTCGAAGCACTTTTTTATGTTGTGGAGAATCGATAGTTGCTGTCAGCATGCTATGAAGTATTCCATTCAATTGATTAAATTTCATCTTTATATACCTACTTAAAAACCCTCATTATGTTCAAGTAAATATTGATTTCTCTTGTGAAAAATAAAATTATTCACTTGCCTAATCCAAAAGATAAAAGTAAAGTCGATGATTATTGTTACAATGAGAGGATAATTGTCAATATACCAGAACTGTAATACGAAATTGTAGTTACATTTTGTCTTAGAAAACCAAAAATTATCAACGACAACTAAGCCTGATACTATAAAAATGAAAATTATGCCTGCGATGAACTGATGCAGGAAAAGAGAATAATGATTTTTCAATACGTTTAATTCATAAATCTCTCGTGTACAAGTTTCCAAATGTTTTATAAATATTTTGATCCGCTAGAAAAACGGATTTCATCAATTAATTAAACTTTTCATGAATATTTTCTATCAATATAATATATCACTTAATAACACTACCACTCTAATAGCAGCATAATAAAAATATATAATTAATCTAAAAAATTCTACCTTTCTTCTAGCTAAACCACCGAAAATTGCAATTGTATAGACAAGGGCGTTATAAGCAAACAAAAATTTGGTCGTTTTGGCTGCCACTTCCGTTACTTGAATGTCTGTAAAAGTATCTATTACACCCTGAACTACAAAAAATAATGTACCGTAGAAAGCCAAAGAGCAAACGATATAAATAAAACCAATTATTTGAATCAGTCGATCACTAAAATATTCTAATAAACCAGTGGAAACAATCGAGTTCGCGATGATTAATGGCATAATGGAACGTTGAAGCTCTCTCAATTGAAACATTTGAGAGGTTTTATCGACGTAATTTGTATAAAAAAATATAACTTTTAATTTTAATATGAATGTTTTAGTTTTCTTTTCTTATTTGCAAGTTACTCTCTGCTGGAAGTTACGATGGAAACTAATTTATATTACAAGCATTTCTGTTCTTATTACCTTTGAGTATTTTCATTGTAAATATTTAAATGACTTGCATTGTTAGATTAAAGTAGAAACTACTATAGTTCTATCCTACCTTTTTCATCATATTAATGATGTATTTCTTCGTCTTTGTCTTTTCAATGAAAAATATTCATTCATTTATATACACATTACTTCCTTATCAAATGAAGATCAGTAAGCCATTACTTATTAAAAAGAACATTATATGAATATTAATATAAGTAAATGGATTTTTAATTTATGTTCATAGTGCTTCATGGACACACAAGAACATACATATTTTTTTAAATTTGGTAAAAATTCTGTTTCAGAGAATTACAGTAAAACTATTTTGTTTAACACATTAAGCGTAACGCTGCACTAATGGCCAAAATCGCGAAAACACACGATCCATAAAAAGATGTAATTTAATTTTTTTTTAAATGAGTATTTAAGTATTTTTGATGTCACTAGTTATGAATTTAAAATCTTTTTAAAAATAACAAATTAAAAATCAAAGATTAAGGTTTTAATTCAAAAAAATAAAAAATTTAATCAATTAAAAATTTTTTTGTTATTAAAATTATCTATTTATTACTTTATATTACATTCCCTTATAATAATGTTTAATTAATATTTCACGCTCACTGTATGTTATGCTAACGCGAATCCGTTTCAAACTAACGTACAAATTCTTTACGTTGAAATTATACGCGCGTTTTGTACAGAAATCTCACGACAGTAAATTAATACGGTGTGAGTTTAGAGGCAGCTAGTTGTGTACGTGTTTATGAAAATGAAGTGAGCGACAAAGGAAAGAATGATGCAAGAAGGAAATATATTGGGAAGGATGTTTATTTGAAATCTAAATGATGAAAAGAAAGAAGGTCTGCCCGCTGCGGTAGAATGTGTGTTTCTAGGACAAGTGGACTTCATGTGAGTTCTAGAGAATTTGGACTGTGTGATGTAAAGCAGAAAAAGAAATGTGAGCATGACGTATGCCTAAAAAGGACGAAAGAGGGAATTTGTATGTCAAATGTATTTAATACTAAACACTTATAATTATACAAGTATAAAGTAGTGGATAAAGTGTAGGGTCTTTACAAGTACGGTTATGCATAACCGTATTATATCCTGAGTAAAAAAAATCATGTGTGCAGATCACACGTGTTAGAAGTGAAACCTTCAAAAATCTAAGTTTCGAGAGAATGAGACGAATGGACAGTTTTAAGAGTAAGATAATTGTAGGATTTATTTATTATAATATTATTACTATATATAATAAAGGTCACC